GTCAGAATGGTTTATCCCTGAATCTGAAGGGACGTGTGTATCAAGCTACAGTACGGGCTGGTTTGTTGTATGGCTGTGAGACTTGGCCTATTCGAGCAGCTGAACTGAGACGTCTTCAGGTGTTCGACAATCGTTGTCTCAGAACCGTAGCTCGCGTGGGTTGGTGTCGGCGAATCCGTAACGAGGCAGTTAGAAAGCGTGTTTTCGGTTGTGTAACGGGTACTTCCATTGAAGAATGTGTCCAGCGCTAGAAGCTGCGTTGTTTGGGACATGTGTTACGTATGCCGAACCATCGTTTACCGAAGAGAGCACTGTTTTCCATGCCCAATTCGGAGTGGCGTAAACAGAGAGGTGACCAACCCTTGACTTGGCACAGGAGTATGAAGGAGATCACGAAACGCTTGGGTGCTGTTGGTGCTACTCGCCTTCCAGGGTGGGGACCGCGTGATCCTCACTGTGCCTGGTTGGAGACACTACAAGATATGGCTGCCAACCGATATCAGTGGCGTTCTTGTTTTCAGTTTCTGTCCAGATTGCCTGAGTGAATGTCTGGAGGTGTAGGCACCTCGGAATGATTGTGTTAAGCTAGCACTAAGTCCTCCCCCCATCCATCTTTATTCTTTTCTTTACAATAAGGCTTTCAAATTAGTCATGGTTGTACGGCAATGAAGCATTGGTGTTGAACACTGATGTCATGCTGTCGTTGATGATGATGATGACTGCGATTGAGCCATGTCCGGTAGTGTCGTTATTCATTTTGAGTTGAGTCCCGGGTCCCCCCTCAAGGGAGGCAGTAGTTGTTGACCCCACTCCATCTAATGGTTAGGGCTACCGAACTTCGTTGACAGGTCATACACTGTCCACCTTGCTTTCGCTTCCGCTCAGCACGTGGACGGACAAAAAGAGCTCTGCGAGGCAGACAGTCCTCTGGAATGCAGAGTAGTTGTCCTAACCGCCGACCTAAAGCAGTCACCTTGACCTGGTGATCGGGCCTCGGTGCCGTAATCATCCTGCGAGCTACTCTGACTGGAATTCGGCTACTCAAGAGTCGACCATGCAAGGAAAGTCAACGGGGACAATCCGACGAAGAACGACGAGACCCCGCATCACGAGTAACCGTATTATGTGGCGTTCTTGGGGATACATATGTACTCTCTGATGAGAGTGTGAAGATAGTAAGGGGTTTCTCGCCTACATGTCCATATTTACGGAAGTAGTGATGTTGCCTTTCCCGGAAGAAGGATGGATTTGAAAAGGTCGGCTGTAAAATCTGCGCACTCTGATCACCTAATGGTTGACCATGGATCGCCAATGCATTATTGACTACGGTCGATATACTATTACAAACAGAGTCCAGTACTGCTCAAAAGATGTGTGTTGTGCAGCCGCGTTGGGAGTCAAATAGTTATTCCTTACTCTCTGCGTCTTCGGTGTAGGCTCATCTCGATCTATATGTTTGCACAACAAACAAATGTTCACCCCATGAAGTTTTATTGAGTTTTACTGAGTCACACGGCGCAAAGAATGCTGTCGATTAGAACTAAGCGCGGTGGAGTCCTTCGAGCGCTGGAGCGAGTCATTGCAACAGGATCACCAGAACTGTTTGGATTAACATTTTGTGCTGTTGGAAATCCCTCTAAACCCACCCGATGAGTCTCACTGGTGATAAAATACCCTGATGTGACTGAGATTTTCAGGATCGGAAGACGTCTTTATCATGAAAATCCGGCAAAATTCAGGTCCCCTGGCTTAATGGTCGAATAAACGACTCCGACTAGTCACCGGTAGTCAGATTGTTAGAATAAGTCATTCACCGGCTAACTCAAGACTCACGTCTAAAATGAAATTCGTCGGTTGTGCAAGTCAGCCGGTGAGTGTGACCTGGTAGGAAACAACCCGAAACTGCTAACCACGAGATCACTAATCACTCTGTCTACACGCATCTTATAGACTTTAATACAAACGATCGGTGTTGTATGGTTAGTTTATAGTGGTTGTACTATTTTTTTCTAAATCAGCTCTGATAGGAAAGCAGGTGAAATAAAGAATGCAGCCAAGTTCTCGAGTGATATTGGGTTAGGGCGTTCTGGTCAAACTTGACCAGGTGCAGATATCCTCCTCTTTCAGTGGTCGTTGCTGTGACCTTATTGTATTCTCTCACCTAAGTTGTAGTCATGTCTGTTTGGTCAGTTGAGCAGACGGTACTGGTCATGCGTGAACAAACTGCATGTTTAGAACAACCCGTAATCCTCGCTCGTTGCATTTACTTTTTGGTGGAAGGTGACAAAGTGTATTTTCTCGGTAGGGGGATTCAACAAGCCAGGACCGAAAAAAGTTCGACCGTATAGGATTTCCTCTCCGAAGTGGTTCTCTTTAGATTGGGATCACTGCATATGCTACCCGGTTGTTTACGATTGGTATACCAGGCTCTTTTGCCATAATCATTTTTTCTGTTACTCATCTTTACATCCTCATTTTATGAGCACAGTAGTACGGGAATGCAGAAACCTAAAGCTCCTCATTGGCTATTCCTCCCACTGTCCCATCAGGCGTTCGGAACGGATTTTCTGTCATGACTATCAAAATTCCATATGTCGTAGACCAGCTTGTAAATTTCTACACTACAGTCGTGAGGATGAAGAGATCTTTCGTCTCACCGGACTTCTGCCAAACGAACTCGATCAAAATCATGATGGATCGAATCCTAACTCAACGATCGAGGAGATGCCGCCGGTTTGCAAGGTAATCTTGTTAATCACGCTTTTGTGCTCTTGCATTTGTCTTGGTTTTAACTGATCAGCTTTCTTGAGTTTTCCCGCATCTGTTGAGTATATTTATTTTCAACCATGTTCCGGTGTTTTGCAGCTCCCTCTCTTTGCAGCCTCCACATTAAAATTGGGATTGCATTTCACGAATGTCATTTATTGCATAGACTGTGGTACCAAATGTACGACGTTAGCTCTGTTTTCCTTGTCACTAGTTAACGTTGGTAGTAAAAACAAAACATCCTCCCTTATCCCACGCGTGAGTCTGAGGAAACTGGAGTCAGCATCTGCTCCAAACATGAGTTAGTTTGACGGGTTGTATCTTTACGTTTATAGAGATTTCGATTGGTGGTACTCGGGCTATGTGACCCAATTCTCAGTGTTCGAAGTAGCATCACTGGTAGGAAATGAAGGATAATTGGCTGGAAAATTTATCGCCGACTATCTTGGTTGGATAACCGCATTGAAGTGATTTTGGGATGAATGGAAGAACTGTCTTTCTAATCTTACCCACAATGACATGTATGAAACTTTTTAATCCAATATCATCGAGATTTCTTCTCTGAATAAAGTTACTCACTGTGCGGTGCCGATTTTTAACACTATAGGAACCGGAAACTAAATAACGAGGAGGATTAAATGTATCCGTGATATCCACATAATTCACAGCGATTTTTTTAAAATTTGCTTCATTATGAAGATTTAAATGGCCTAGGAACCTTTTGTTATGCCACTTCCAGTTTGTTCTACCTCTTGAGATCGTTGCAAACAAGAGCTGACCGGTTGCTGAAAACTCTTCGACCTTGTGGGTAGTTTCCTTTATGAAAATATACTGCGATATCTCGAATATGCCAACTGCAACATGAGGCGGCTTGTGCGCAGCACATTCAGTTGTAGAATATCATAAATGAGAGATTCAGTTGAGTCTCTCGTGAAAACCAAATTGATTTGCAAATGAGTGTATTTCTCGAAAAGAGCTAACCAGTGTTTTTTTTATCCATAAGATTGGGTTATTACTTGTTTTTTCCTCGAGGAACATTACCTGTGTAAGGACTCAACAGGTAATTCACACCAGAACAACGTCTACTTTTATCAGATTAACATAGCCATGTAATTAGCGATACAGCACAGTTAGATTTTCATCCTAATCTGTCGTCGGCACGTTCATTCTTTGTTCTTTGCGTATTGTTTGTTGTTCTATTTCATAAACTCTAAATGATTCTCCAAGTTCATGAAGCATGTGTAAGCGATAATAACACTTTCCGTGCACAGCTGCCGTGCAACTCAAGAGGTGCGCAAGGGCTGACATACTGTCAGGTTACCCAAGCCTAGGAAAAATAAATTGGAAAAATAAAGTGGGATTCAAACCACGGACCTTCGAGTCGGCAGCTTCCCATCCTAACCGATGGATTATCTCTATGAAGCTTGTGTGCAGTGGTTTTGTCCTAACATACCGATTAAAAGCACCCGCTTGGAAGCCCACTGTACTACCAAGTGGCTAATACTCAAAGTGAAAAGAGATATTTATCTTTAACATCGAAAACCGGCTTCGGTACATGGGGAAATGGATCGCAGGTCGTTTAAATTATTTCGGTGATCCTAGTTATCACTCTAGATTGAGACGTTTCGCCGCCCCACAATCACCAACAAAATTGTCTAATTTCTCTAGTTTTCCCAAGCATTTGTGCAACCGACGGCTCCATAATATCACAGCTGCTCTAGCTATCACTCTTTGGGTGGTCATAGTAATCCATTCACGGACTGTGGTTACTGGTTTAAGGCATGGTACAGTTTAGGTTACGAATGATTTAATTGCTGGATATGACCGTAAATGACATATTGGATGGGAAAACGCTGCACATGTTGGCTTGTGGATAACTGACGAAGAGGCTGCTCTTCTATCTTGCTTGAATTTCGTAATGTTTGATCGCTCTTTTCGGTTCGGTTGTTTTCCACAACCGTGAAGCACGTATGTGGATACGGTCGTTCGGGTCGCCGCAGCCTATGCCAGCGGGTGGTTTGAGATAGACGGGGTATAGAACAGCGGGCCAATGATCAACAGCAGAATGGATGTAACACCATCGGAGCAGCCGCAGTCCCCAGGTCACGCGTTGTCCACCTTGTCGTATCTTCCGATGAGAACCTGCCTGATAGGGCACATAGAGACAACCAATCACCTGGTCTACGGAGCACATGACCAGGCTAGCGAAGTCGAGGCAGCCAAAACAATCTGTCGATTGCACCCGTAGTTTATTTGTTGCCAAAGACCACTCGTCACCTTTCAGAGTTGTTAATAACATGTTCCATTATGTGTGTGCAATGCTTTTACGAAGCCGATGGTCAGGGAGGAGCTACGTTCTCTCATCTTAATGCACAGCGACTGGGCGCACTGCCGCAACTGTATATACCAGCCTTCACCGACTGACTAGTGGCACGTTGACCTTAGTTGAAGGAAAGCAGAATGAGTGTCAACAGGTTCAGGGTAGCTCACGGATTAAGTCGCGAATTTACTGACCGGAAGGTCTGTGGTTCGAACCCGACCTCTGCCTCTCGACTTCCCCTGTCTAGGCTTGGGCAACCTGGCAGTATCCCAGCCCTCATGCAACCTTAGGGTGGCATGGCAGTTAGGCACCGAAAGGGTGCTACAGCTGAACGGTTTTCCGTCGTTTGAACCCACAGCCAGCATCTCGACTGTTTTTATTTAGGTTTAGGCAACCTGGCAGCATCGCAGCCCTCATGCTTCCTCCAGGCGGCATGGCAACTAAGCACTGAAACGGTGTTGCAGCTTAAAGACTGATTGGTATTTTGATGTGATTTAGTTCGTCGGCAGTACTGTCATCCGACGGGATATAACCGCCTGGATAGCTAAATCCGCCAATTATCTCTGGTGGTTTTGATACCATGACCAGCTCTGGTGGTCGCTTACACACATTATTAATAACAATTTACATTTTGATAGTTGCAAAGAACATAAAACGCGTGACATTTTTATTTGGACTGTTTAGTACACTTTGTATCTGGATGGAACCTGAACCCAATAGCCCAAAACTGTCCGTGTACTTCAAGCCTTTGAAGTGTTTCCCAGGAAGAATCTCCACGTCAGGAGTGGGAAACATAGCGAACGTTTCTTCAATTGCGAAATTGAGATTTGACAAGGGTAGTCCTAACGGACACCACTTCTGGTGATGAACTCAGCAGAATACTTTCCCGTGCCCACAGCTGTTGGAATATAAGGATCGGAGAAGTGTGACGAAAATGTTCTTCGCCACAAAGTGGCGCGATCGACCTAGTTGAATGTTGCTTTTAGATCTAAGAAGGCAGCAACTATTGGTACGTGTTGAGGCGTTCGGAAAATTGTCGCTAGGTTAGAATGTTAGTTCACCCACAACTCGGACGGAACTCTGTTTTTCACCGTTCTGTTTCTCGCGAGTGTGTGAAAAGATGTCTGTGAGCAACCTAACAGCGATAGCACTTCATTCGTCTCCCGAATTCCCTGCATAACTTTAGTCATTGTGAACCAGTTTTTATGCATCCGTGAGCAAAACGGAGGGAAGAGAGTCGAAACTAGCTGCCTTGTTTCTCTTGAGAAGCGTGATTTTTTTTTGGATCTCATATTCCGTGAAAATGAAGCAGCTTGCAAGCCATTGTGGGACTGGTATTGCGTTGGTCGTTATGGTTGACATCTTAGGCCAGCTGAATCGCCCCTCGTCGTAGTTCGAAACAGGTGGTGAGGGTCTGGACGGACTTTCGAGCTGTCCTCTGTAATGACTTCACCAACCGACTCCTTTCGCCTTCACTGCTGATTAACTTCTTTGACGACCGAAGCTTGTAGGCAGTGAATACCACTGCGATATGTCGTCTTAATCGCTGGGAAACTAAATGAAACATGGCATGACCGGATCCGTTCATGTGTTCCAAAGAGAACGACAGTCTTCAGCACAATATCGCCGTCTGTGTTTAATTTTTATGTGGTCACTACTCTTGCTGTTTGGTTTGGAGGGCGTTAGGTAACACTATCCACACGACTACACCGAATGGAGGATTGGTAGCTCAAACCGTCCAGTTGATGATCGAGCTGTGGCTTGACGCTTTTGTTGCAAACGTTTCTTCATCAATCGAGGTGTAATAATGGTACTTTCTCAGCTCAGTTCTCGATCTGAACCTCCGAACTAGCGTTCCCGTCAAAACAACCACCAAATGTTCACAACTTGTATTCACGCCCAAAATTGGGTCAAAACATTTGTACAGCGCGTCGTATATAACTTGTATGCGGCGACAACCTTAATGCGACATTGACAACCGGCATTCGGCGAATAGTGGATCATGTTTGGCTGTCGGGTCTAGACTTTCGGTCGATCAGTGCTCGCCTCTATGCTGCACCGATCTTTTGGTCAATCGAGATAGGCTTCTTGGCTTTAGCAGCGTCTAACTGCGAGCGGCAAAACAGTACCAGTGTGGAATTCCCCCTAACACGAGCTGACATCAGTGCGTTGCTGGGATGCCCAGTAGAACTCTGTGTTGGTGGTTGTCGCACAACCACCGTTCTTTGCTGAAAGTTTGTACTTGCAACGGGTCGATAGTGATCACTAGTACAGTTGTAGGAAGTGGGCACTGTTGTCGCTTCTCCCGCCGAAATGGCTCTTGCATTTGTCCACTCTCTCCAACGACATTAAAGTCGCCAGGCAGAATAGTGATATACGTATTCTCGGAACTCTGCAGGAGTTTCAGATGTTTTCCATAAAAGGCGTCTTTTACAGTGCCACTGTTACAGTTTTTTCAGTCTTTCAGCTCTTGCCGTCAACGCAATACCCATATCATAGTTCAGATTTTATCTGACTGAAACGGTTTGGCCGATGCGTAACCTGAGACCAACAGACTTGGTAAAAAGTAGAATATTTTGACCCCTTTATACAGTCTTCATCATTTTTAGGACACATCCTTGTGAAAATCTGAATTGAATGCTCAAGATTTGGTTCTTACCTCCCTGTCCCACTTATAGGTGAATGGAATAGGGTAGTTGTGAAACTCTCAGGATTTGCCTGGTAGTTTTGAATGGATTCGATAGCTTCTCGGATTGCATAATGGCCACCACAGGACGATCAGCTGATTGTTCCTCGCTGTTCCGCCATTTGCCAGTATCACTTTACAAGTAAATGTAACCTTTTCACAGGGCTTGTGTGAAAGGACAACAAAGGGACGATCTCCGGCCAAAATTGATTTGACCGTCACATTAGCCTTCGATTTTTTAGATTTCAAGAAATTTGTGGTTGATTCTTACTAGCATTTTCTGCATTTCTGTACCTGTTGTTGGAACAGTACATCTAGTATGGCAGCATTGCTCTATTGGCACTTGTTTATGACGATAGTGTTCGAAACGCTACTAAAGCTCTTCGTTTTACTTGGTTTCCTCCCCTTCGGTAGAGCATTTTGATTTTTGGAATTTCCCACCCAAGGCAGCTGTTCATTGACTTTGTGACCAATCTCGACTTGGTACGCATAAATCCCCCTGAATATCGTGTTCAGTGCTGAATGTGTGTGAAGCTCTGTTGGGACCACTTGATCCATTCTCCCCGGCTGCACCTGATATAGACATCGCTCAAGACAGAAGCCAGTGATGCTCCGGGGTCAAACGCTCACTGTTATTGATCGTAATTAGCAACCATGTGCTGTGATTGCAAAGCAGAACACTTCATTTGAGTCAATTGAACGGAACCGCGTGAATCTTCGTCGTCGTTGATGAATACAGAGATCAGCTGTGTTCACAAACGAACGAATGGCTGAAGCGTTTAATTAACTGAAAATTTCTGAATGTCCGCCTTGATATCTTTGCCTATCCAACGTCCTTGTTTTCTTGCTTTGTAGGACTATCTCAACGGCATTTGTTCACGTGGTCCCGCTTGCAAGTACCGCCACATTTCCACCCCAATGGACAAACGACCACTCCGTGCAAACATGGATAACTTGACTCAATTTCGACTGGATCACTTACCAGAAGACCCAAACACAGCCTTATCATCTTCCCGTAGTGCACCCATGCTCTCGAATCAGATCAGCTCCAGAGGAGTTATTCCTTTACAACCACCCACTGCTACAGCATTAATGGCTGTTGCTACGTCCCTTCCCAGTTCTGATAGATCTCATCCATCGCAACCACTTTCCATTAGTTCCAATATCGTTTCAGCCTCAGACTCAATTGCAACTCCGATGAAAGACATGTATGTAAGTAGCAATGCACAACCTGCGCCACTTGTTGGTGTTGTGGATCATGTGGGGCTGTCGTCTTCCAATATCCAGCACACGTTGTATGCCCATCCTCATAGTTTGGGAACATTCACTCCTTTGGTATCAGTTTCCAGCACTAGTCAACCCGTACCCTGTTCTTCAGTACTAGCTGTGGTCGCAGAATCCTCTCATCACCCGGCGGCGGTGCTGCAACATCCTAATGCTGTGGCTACATCGCAGACAACTTACCATTTGCTTTCAAATACCCCTACACCTATACAGCCACATTTACTCTCATCTAGTTCCTCCGTGTCCTCAGCACCAACTCTCCTCACAATTCCACTACCTCAGTTCGCCTGTGACAGTACAACCACTGGCGCGCTACTCAGCTCCCATGGAAATTCCGCGTGTACGACCCACCAACATCCCAGTGTTCTGACCAGTGTGTTGCCCGCAAGTGGCGCACTAACAAACACTTCTGGCACATGCTTTTCTTCCTACAATGTCCTGCAAATTACGCCTTCGTCTGCTGTAGAAACGCATGCTGTTCCAGTATTTGCAACTCAGCACCCGGTTTCCGGAGCAGTAACCACCTCGGTTTCTTCGTCAACCTCTGCTGTCCTAGCCGCGGCAGCAGCTGCTGGTTACTGGGCCCAACACCTCCCAGTCGTAGGTGGCGCACCCGGTAGTGTTAGTGTTTCTGCTTCACCATCACGCCTTACGCCAACAGTCAGTGGTGGGAACCTTCGTTACGGTTTAAAACACGATCTAATCGAAAGCGGTAATCATGATTCTGCGGCACTTGCTGCCGCTGCTAACCTTCCAGCCGTCTCAGCCGCTGCTGCTGCTGCCGTAGCTGCTGCCAAAGCCTTTGTGGCTCGGACTACTCCTGTGTCATCTGATCATGCGGTTTGCTCCTCTGACAATCCCCAGGTAAGTTTGATCTGTTTTTTATAGTATGGTGGGCTTATATCGAGTCAGGTTGGCAATGGATGTTGCGTTATTCTCAGTGATGGAGTCTTGTTTGGATAAGGATATTCACATGCGTTCATCTCGCTGTTGTCCCCAGGTGTATCTACATTGTTCTTGATCGTTTTCCCTAGAGTTATAAGCCTGTTTAAATAAATCATCGTCCTTTTTCCTTTCTACTCTCTATCAGGTAATCCTTCATGAGTGTATAGCAGTTAAGAATTCGCATTTATTACTGCGGTTTTACTTCGCACGATAATAAGACTATCATCCAAAAGGGGCCACATCCAAGGAAGGACACTACACCGCTATCCCACGAGGTGTTGCGTGAAATATGGAGAGATCAACTTCTCAGCTAATTGTCCAATAAAATCGAAATGGACTTAAAACTTACCAAGAGCCCGATGTGGTTCCAAATGGCATCAGGAATGAGATATCAATGACTTACATCCTGCACCCTCCAGCTAGGCCAGTTCCCTACAGTTAGGTGGGCCAAACTTTTAATCCATTAGCTTTGGGTAGTCTCAGGAAACCCTACTACACAATGCCCTGTGCGTTAGACCTATGATCCAAAGGCTGCGGTCTGAATAACGGGACAAAACCTTACGTTCTCTCATCGCGTTTTGGCCCAGACCGTTAAGTCAAAGACGCAAGATGGATCACCAAAAACAATCCCCCTTATCAGTCCAGGAAAACGGGAAGTGTTGTTTGCTCATTCAGGTCTTGGTTCGAGGGCCGTCTTCCACATTCCTCACGCCTCAAAGGCTTCACTGCATTCGCTTCACCTGTCCATCTTCTAACCATTGTCGTCTGTTTAAATTATCGCCCAGTAAATTCAAAAAATAGTCCCTTACTAAACTCCAGAGATGCCATCCACTTTGTAGCCCTTAAGTCCGTACTGTGTCAAATCCTGCAACAGGTATCTCTCTCCGAAATCTTGCGCTGCATTTCTGTCGCTGTATGTCGTTTCTCTAAAGCACGCATACAAGACCCCACTTCGGTCGTCCACCTCAAAGCGTCTAGCATGAGCTCAGATGTCTGATGCGACGGTTTGTAGTATTTATTGCGTGAGAGCCGCATTGAGCCCCAGAACTAAGCCGCTTTGCTAGACTGGGATCCACCTTACGCTGCATGGCTATCTGGTCCTTTAAAGATTAATACAGACTGAGGTGGTAAACCATGTCCGTTTGTCGAATCGGCATACTCCTCGACAGACTGCATTTCTCAAACTGGGAAAGATGGGCTTTATTGTGATCTGTCATGGCTACATCTGTCAGCACGAGGCAGTTGGGATGTAAAGTCGTACTGTCCTCTGCGATAGGAGTGTGAAGGCAGTAATGCGTTTGCCCCAGGTGACCAGCCTGTCCGTATTCATGGAAGCAGCGATGCTGACTTCCCCCAAGTAAGGATAGGTTAGAAAAAGTCGGTCTTAAAAACCGCACACTCCGATCGCCCAGCGGTAGACCGTGACCACCGACGCATTATTCAATACGGTCGAAATACTTTTAAAACCAAAGAGTCTGGTGCTGCTCAAAAGGCACCTGCTATGCGCAGCTGCGTTAGGACCAGGCCGGCCCCCTACAGCCAAGTGGATCATACTATTCAGTCAGTAGCTCCGGGAAGGGTTCCTCAAGAAAACCCTTAAAACCGCTGCCTCGCGGTTCAAACTTTCGAGTCAAAGGCTCAAGGTGGGGTACCTCATTCATACCCCCTTCTTCGGCTTGGTAAACCGTGAAGTATCATTCTCCTCTGCGGCCCTTCGCTCGCCGGCCTTCCTCTACGGCCCTTCCCTACCCATCGAGCGATAACGCCACTAACCTGTCTACCGACCTCCAGGCCACTGTTCCGTGTCTAAACCTTTACCCAGAAAAATAAACTATAATAATTACCTACTAATCTCAAAAGACCTGGTCCACTTTGCAGTCTTTAAGATTCATAATTAACGTCGAATTGGGCAACAGACATCTCCTGCTCAAACCTTCCTTCCCTCATCTGTCGATGTATGTTGCGGCCCTGATACAAGATCTATCATGACTGCTTCGATCAGCAAGAAGGACGGTTATTGTAGTCCCAGTGGGTGATATGAATGCTCAAGTTGGACGAATAAGTCCGGAAGAAGCGCAGTCGGGTGGTAGGTTTGGAGTCGATGCTCAATGTATGATGGGGGCAACTGCTTCAGTTGTTCGCACATCATCGTTTGTTCCTGGCCAGTACGCTCACATCGAGGCACTTAAAGAATACCAATCGCAAAATAGCCATGGACCCAGTCAGTCCACGGATGGAGAACGTCAATCAAAGATTGCCGTTCCTTCTGGTGTACGCAACTTAACTCTGATCATGCCATTGTGCGACCCCGGTTATCACTTCACTTTCGTCAGCAGTACGCGTGCGAAAGTAGAGCAGTCCCATTCATTAACTTCCGGAAGTTTCATTAGCTCAAAAGTACGTAGCTGACTTGGCTAGAAAGCTACTGAAAGCGCACTGTGATGCAGATGTCGAAGACTGATTGTAGGCTGAATGAGGGCAGGTTAAAGAAGCTATACTCTCAGCTTTCAGAACTATCTGTCCAAGCCATCTGACTTGACTAAATGAATACTGGATATCATCGAGATTAGCAGATCTTATTGCTGACAGGACCGCCATATCAGCAACTAGCGACTGTGATGGTGCACGTAGTTCTCTCAGAAACCAGATAATCAGGAGTTTGAAGAATGACACAGAGGACGCTGGTGGATTTCAAAGGCCCAGGAGATCAAGAAGGCTTTCGCTGCAGGTAACAACCGCGCCCTATTTCAACGGACTCGATCAATCGATCAACAGAAGGCAGATGTCAGTGAGATAATATGCGAAGTAGATGGAACTGCAATTCATTGCCTCAACCGTCATCTTGAGCGATGACCTGAACACTTCAAAGGACAGTTCAGCTAGTTTCCTTCAACACAACCGCTGGAAGAACCCAGTGGGCCTGAGTGGGGGATCGACACCCACCAACCGTCAACAACAGAAATCCAGCGTGAGATCCTGCTACCCGTCACTAGAATTATTTTGCGTAAAAAGAATCGCTCAGCTGTAACACTCTTCCGGTGCCTAGCTGTCATGCTACCCGACGGAAGCACGGTGGCTGAGATACTGCCAGGTTGCCTAAGGTGTCCCTTCCGATCTATATCCCTTATGAGGACATTGTATGCGAACTCCTGTGGGAGCGTAGGGGTACACGGCAATCTTTCGCCTGAGTTCACCACGTCCAGTAGTGTAAGACACCTACTCACCTTCTCAACTTTGTTATAACTGTGCTACTTGAAATTTCTCTGCCTGTCTCCGAAACCTCGGGAGTTGAAATACTCTCGGGACGTTCCCTCACATTCGTTGAGTATGCGGACGATATTGCTCTCGTTGGTTCAGATCCCTCGAAAATGCAAACCATTTTAAATAACCTAGATGATTGTGTTGCACGGCTTAACACACGCTTCACGCCTGCAGAGTCTAAAATTACGCCACAAAACTGGGTGTGATCACACCCAAACCTCATGCTTGCAGACAAGCCAATCGGTGTGGTAGCTAGATTTGTTTGACTGGGCAGCTGCATTAGTTCCGGTGGGGTGGCTATAAACAAGATTAATCCTCATATCAAGATCAGGGGAACGTCTACCAACCTCCGCCATCTATGGCGGCGACATAGCGTGAGTTTCTGTCAAGGGCGGAGTTTACACTGCGGCGCTGCGATCTATACTGCTTTATGGATCAGAGACGTAGCCTCTACGCACGAAGGACGTACGAAAGCTGTCAGTGTTTGAACATTGGTATCTCCGAAGCATTGATCGGGTCTGGTGGGAACATCGGATCAGTAATGTTAAGGTACGCCCGATGGTCCTAGGAAGAAGGAACTCTCCCGCAATAAATGAATTACTCACGCTTCATGGTTACGCCGGTTGTGACATGTACTTCGCATGCAGTTTTCGTGGCCTTGTTCGACTCGAACTTTGTTCAGGAAAGCAGTATCCGGGAGTAGGAAGCTGTACTGCCAACTAACGTCCCATATGAAAGGGAAGTAGCTTTCATTAAACAATAATGCCTTAGGTTGTAACATGAAGTCCGTGTCCATTGATTGCCTCAAAACGGCACAATAATCACACCAATGGGTTTGATTCATCAGTGGCCGTATAAAGACGATTAAAATATCTAACATACTTCGGACGCAATGCCATAACAAGTCTTGATATAATAACCAACCATTAGTTTCCTTCAGCGTGTTTCCTTTCAACAGAGTAAATAAGTATAAGGTGTTGGGAGAGCAACATGCATTCGATCACTTCCTGTTGTTTCATTCAGCTTCCAACATACGCTTCGGGAATGACGTTTACAGGTAGGGATCTTGGTAGAAACGATGAGATAACCAATCACAGCTCAGTCGATCCTATCATATAAGTGGAAATTCACGCCTAGGTACCGCGCTCAATCGGCTCATACTCCGGGGAAACCGCGTGTCCAACTAATCTGCCTTAGTAGGATAAAGTGAGACTGGCGACAAAATTCAACTCTCCGTACACATTCGACTGAATCCATCGAACGACTGGTTCTTCAACCACCCTTAACATACACTTGTTACTTCGCTCATGACTTTGAAGGTGATTTTCGCGTCGGTGCACATATTGCATTAAAGTATATCAATCTTCGGTAGTAGTTATCATTTTCAAATCTAGTGCCTCCTACCTCGTGACCCCTTGAACTTTTCCGGTTGAGAACCACTGCCTTAGGTGTTTCATTGTTAGTGGATCATTAATGTTCATGTTGCATTTGTCTGAAGGTCAAAACCCATTGTAGTGTCAGTAGTTCCACTAGATTACCCTGATTATTCTGTTTTCTAGTGCCGTGTGAATAATTTTCAAGATTCTGCTATGGTACAAAATTCCAGTCAAGTGAAACCTCCTGCAAGCAACACTGATGAGTCTCAAGGAGTACACCATCAAGCACCTGCGTGCTGTCTTACTGCTACCATAAACACAGCCACTATGACTACTGCAACTGTCACTGGGCCACAGTCGCATTCACACACCGCTCCACCGGCGGTCACATCCTCGCACCTATCATCCTCCAGCTCCTGTTTCCTTCATCCCAACGAAGAAGAGGAAGAACAACATGCAAAAACCGCCGCAGCGGTTGCCGCCGCTGCTTGCATCGGTAGGTCTTTTTGGCTACGTTTGAACTTCTGACAGCCTGTCTCATAGGATTAGGCATGTCTGTGGATTTTTCGCAGTTAGTCTACACTGATCCTGTAAATGGGATTGGCCATCGCCACACAACCCACATCAACTCAACTTTTTGGGTGATGTCCACTGTAGATTTAGATGGTGACGTGCCCGGAATTCCCTACTTTGATGATTCTATCCAAGCTGAATGCAATACATGTACATAGATCAATAAATTGGTTCGATCCATATATCCATGCCACCGTTTTGTTAGACGGACACGCACGGCGGCGGTCTGATTCCGTCCGATTTCGATCGGTTTCACTATTATTGCACACGCACACGTCCGCAGGCGCAACAACAGTCTGTCTCACAACCGCTTGCTCACGTGACCTGCCGCGCCATGTTTGTACCTGCATATGCTCGTGTGAATGTGTTCGACTTTGTTCGTCACAATCACGCGCAGTTTGTGCATCTATCTGTCAGCCAATTCAACCAATGCGCGTGTTCAGAAACGAATGTTTGCATGTGTTGCTAGGTGTTCGCATGCTCCAACACCAGTTCACGGCTTTATCCCCTCGCTATACTAATCAGTCTTACAATAACCGGCTCCACGGTGTTGACTTGGATTGCTCCCCTGGACACATTTACGCGATGATCTATTCACTCGACAACCTCCGTTCACTTTCACTACATCAGTGATCGCTCAAAGGTTAATAGACGACCGCATTCAGACACTTCATTGACACTCACTTCCTCTTCCGCTTTTGTGGGCGTAGTGGCGGAAGATGGGTCGCCCTGGAATTGGCTGCTTTTTTTCGTGAATTATGGTGGAGCTGGGCGACTATTTGTACAATTTGTAGAATGACCAATCGGAGATTCTGCCTCCCACCTGGGTACAAGTGAAGAAAATATGCACCCTCCCCATGGTTCGGTAGCTGTCCGGGCATCTAATTTCTCTCAAATAATCTTAATCAGTAAGCTAAGCCTTCAGTTCAGGTCATACGTATTCGTCCTGACATTGCCACTATGTTAGATAAGTCAACTACCAACATTAGTTGCCAATAGAGACACTGGCTATTCGTTCCAAGTTATGCATAGCAGTGGTAGGCAATCAACCATACATTTGGTACTGAACGTGAAGTGTGGAGCAAATAAATTTCAAACAACGCATGAATGCCATCGTTATAACCACTTCCTCTGAAGCTGGCTGAATGTGTTTCGTGACCACTCATTTCCTCTCTATATCCCAATGGCAAACGCTCACTCAACGATTTTTACTAATACTGGTAATCTTTGGCAGAAAATTTGTTCTTTTCTACTTTTTAAAGACTTTTGACAGTCATAGTTTAGTTTTAGTCTACAGTCAAGCAAGTAAATCTCATCGGTTCAGTAAGGTCTCTATTTCAACCATGCATCGGTGCGCTTGTGTGACGGTCACCACTGCGAAACGGTAGTTTTTGTGTGCGCAATCAAACTCAGAAATAAATTGCTATAAGAAAATGCGCTTTCGAATATTTGACCAGGTTGATACTTCCTAACAAGCACTCTCATCATTATCATCAAAGACAGCAACATCAGTGTCGACACTGATGCTTCAGTACCGTACAACCATAATGTTCGTCTAATTATATTTAAAGGCATACAGTAGTCCTGGTCTACACCTCTATGCGCTCACTCAGACAATCTGGAAGGACACTGACAGCACGAACGCCAACGACATCGACTAGCCTCCATTTCTCGTAACGTCTCCAGCCAAGCACTGGCGGGGCCACGGGGACCCCATCCTGGAAGATATACAACAGCACCCAAACTCTTCGTGATCTCTTTCATCCTACTGCCAAATCACGCGTTGTTCACCTCGCGGTTTGCGCCATTCTGAGGGAGGCACGGAGAACACCACTCGTCTCGGTAGACGGTGTTTCGGTATGCGTAGCACATGACCGAGCCATTGTAGTAGATAGTGCTGGATGTTTTCCCCGATTAAAGTACCGGCCACACAACCAAATACTTTTTTTCAGTCACCTCGTTACTAACACGCTGACGGCACCCAAAACCAGCTACGCTTCTGAGCCATCGATGGTCAAAAACTTGCAGACGCATCACTTCATCTGTCCGCAGAGGCCATACCTCGCACCCATACAACAACACGGTCCCTAATGTAGCCTGGTACACGTGACTCTTAAAGTTTAGAGATATGTTTTTTTGACACCACAAGTAGCACAAAGTATCAAACATGATTCGAGCCTTTGAGATTCTTGCACAGACTTCATCAGACACACTACCGATGTACGTCAAATTCTCCACAACATTCAGTGATTCTACTGTTCGTCAGGTTTATTCCTAATATGTCAGAATAAATATCCATCACATACGTTTACAAGTTCCCCCTGTCTCTCGAAGGTTTCCAAGAAATTCCACAATGGAAGCGAATAAAAATCGCATTTGAACGGGGACTAGTAAATTCAACCGGATTGCTTAATGAATATTCATGCTTCCGCAATGTCCAGCACATTGAGGTCTTATAACCTAAGTGACTCCAGCTTATGGAAACCAGAAACTGGAAATAGTAGCCTTCACAGACATGCCCAATGTCGCTGGGCTCTTCCCTCGAACCCGTCTGTCTCGGCGGAAGTTGTCTCATTGCAACCTTTGATTGTGTTTGTGCTCGGCGGAAGTTGTCTCATTGCAACCTTTGTGTTTGTGTTCTCTCTTTCTCTGCACCAACCTAGTGTGCATGTTCTTGTTGTATCATGTGCCGTTGAAGAAATTTCACTGTGACCAAATGCTCATCAATGCCAAGAACTCCATTCGTCTTGAAATCATGAAATTTTCTTATTCTGGCGTATGACAAAGTGGTTCACTTTTCACGAGAGAAGCATATCGAAGCGAGTACGTTCTTTGGGGCGGCTGACAGTATGACCTGGTTGATGGCTTTCAAGGAACGAAATTTTCCCCACTGAAGTTTGTGTCTGGTCGCACTGCAATCTGTTCAATACGGTATCTGCTGAGCAGATACCCGCTGGGCGCACTCCGGTAGGAGTTCGACAGTTGTGTCATATTCTCTGCACCCTCTGACCCCCACTACGTGAAAACCATCGTGGCATCAGCCTAGTACCTGTCGCTTCCAAGGTGCTCTCTGGCATTATTTTGCGCAGGTTGGACTATTGTCGAGTCAAGTTGGGTTTCACCGCCATCAAGAGGACATCGGCCATATCTTTACATTAAAACAGTTTCTCGATTGGTGGCACTCTTGACCTGGAGGCTGCTTCTGACTCTGTAGATCGTCGGTAACTTTCGCGGTATTTCCAATCAAAGGTACGCAGTCCAGATTTTTTGTTAGGGGTATGGGCTCGGTGGTTAGAGCGCGAATTTACTAACTGCAAGATCCGTCGTTCGAACCCGACATCTACCTTTCGACTTCCCCTATCTAGGTTTGGGCAACCTGGCAGTATCCCAGCCCTCATGCAACCTTAGGGTGGCATGGCAGTTAGGCACCGAAAGGATGCTACAGCTGAACGATATGAATCGGGAATATTCATTGTGAACGCCAGATGGTTTTATGGAAAATGATCTTCCCCACGATGGATTAGTTTCTCACGTTCCATAGGTACTACTGACTTGGACATGTACCTCGCATTGTGGATGACCTCTTACTTCACAGAGCCCTTTTCACCCATCTTCTTGCCCGATGGAGTGATCGGGTCAAAGAAGTATGGTAGCACTAACCAATGTCCTGAGTCAGATCGATGACTGCCGTCTCCATGGATGGGTTCCAGGAAATCAATTCACCAATTGTTGAGGATACTGGCAGACATGGCTCAGTAACACAGCCAGTGTCGCCCGTACTTCGATACGTAGCTACCTTTTTTTCCCCTTGTAACTACTTGTACTGTCGTCCCCAATGCTTCACCACTCTTCCCCTGGTCTCCCATTCTTTGGGGAGGGAAACTCCAGCAGGTGCAACCGACGTGCCATTTGTACATGGCTTATGACTGATAAACCAGTGAAATGAACCATCTCAGTTCGCAACCAGGTTTTGAAGCCATGTGCATTACATTGTGCTCAAGTAGGAAATAACGCTCGTATGTTTGTAGGCTACACTTTGGCAGCAACGTGTCATCAAGAATAAATGTATAATTCTTCAAATTAATCCCCTTTTCATATTTTCACTGTTGTTTACCTCACGGTTGGACCACCCTGTCGAAGTCGACATGAGCACGGTTTACTGTCGCTCTGAGTTGCTTTTTTCAGCCATATCTCATACGTGTCCACTGCATCTATCTTGTAGGTGCCATGTTTTCACAACCCCTGGGTACTGCTAGTTCAACATCGTCCTCTGTGGCAGCCATGTTGGGAGACCTAATGGGGCAAAATCACCTTAATCTGAAATCCACCCGATCAAATCATCATTCTGGAGAATTCAATCCCCAATCATCACGTTCCTTTCCCGATGACTACAAATCTGCTATGCCAGAAGATAACGATGACAGCTGTCACGCAAATGAGGGGGATAGCCGCGCGTTTCCTGGCGATGGACCTCTATGTGCACACGAATGTAACGATCAAAGCAGCCTGTCCGTATCACATACAACTAACGACTCCGCAGATGTCTCCGTATCAATGACAGATGGACGGGCTTTCAGCCATCCACACATGGAATTCGCCAATTCCTCTGCTTGGTCAAGGTGAGCTTCGTGGTAACGTTGTGATGTCAAAGATTTTCTTTATCAATCACCACATTTTCAGACACAGTGCTCCTCCATCGTGAAATACTTTTTTCTTAGAATTATTTTCGCTCAACTTAGTTCCTTCTATCACAACCCACATTAAAGAAGTAGGTTTCCAAGGTCCATGTGGTATTCACTGTTTGGTTCCCAAGAGCGCTCATTTACTCCTCTTTGATGGGCAACGTGACCTCTACCTCTCGACTTCCTTTCTCTAGGTTTGGGCAAACTGGCAGTATCCCAGTCTTTGTGCAACCTTCGGGTGGCGTGGCAGTTAGGCACCGAAGGGGTGCTACAGCTGGACGAGTGGGCAACCCACTAATGGACATTTCTTCCGCTATCCACTTAGATTTTCTAGTGGGCTAAGGAAGCTCACCCACCCTTTCCCAAGTGTTCCTCATCTCAACAATTGCGGGCTGTTGTGAATAGAAAGAAAAGAAATAGAAGTATTAAGCCGTAGCATCCTTCTGGTGCTTAGCTGCCATGCCACCCGAAGGAAGTACGAGCGCCAGGTTGCCTAAGCCTAAACAGGGAAAGCCGAGAGAAAGCCGTCACGAATAGACTGGACCTTAACTTGGTGTGGCGGTTTGTGTACCTCGGAGACCCATTGAGCTATACTGGGGGGTGTCCGTGCGACACTCACAGAGTCTCTCATACCAG